TTTAAAGGAAAAAAGCGGAGGAAAGAAAGAGGAGGGAGAAAGGGAGGATTGAAAGACCTCAGAGCCAAGCTCCTCATCCTTTTGCTTGCTCAGGATCAATGCGGCACGACCCGGTTCTTCTCCCCACACCAAAAGAAAAATGCCTCCCCCCCTTTTTACCCCAAGAGTGGCCAGTTGCCGACCAGGCTGTTCCCGCAGAGGTCACGTCCGCCGCCACCCCTTGGCACAGCCGCCCAGCCTGCCCGAGGTCCTTCTGGGCGCCTCTCCGCAGCAGCCGTCTGCTTGCTTGCTTGCCTGCCTCCTGGGTGTGTGTTGCTTTTGCAGTCCCTTGAAAGCACAACTCTCAAACGCACAAAAGCCCAGGCGAACCGAAAGCTCGGCTTTCATCTGATAAATAAGTAATCGGGTTGTGTTTTCCTCTTTTTTAACTCTCTCTCTCTCTCTTTCTTGGCAGCTGCCTTTGAGCACACAGAACTTCTTCCCCGGCCAAACACAGACCGCCTCCCCCCACTGCCCCAGCCCCAAATCCTGGCACGGACACGCTCCACCTGCCTGCCTTTGTTTTCCCCCAACACACAGGGAGGCAAAAAAACAGTGCAAAACCTAAACACAGCCTTGTTCCCATGGTCCATTCAGGGCCATGCTTTAAAAAAAAAAAAATGGAGCAAAAGGCAGCCTTTAGCCATGATCTGCTGCTCTAAAAGGAATATAGGCACAGCCAGGAATCTGGGAAAAAAATCCAGATTTGAGCCCCTGACAGAAACGGGAAACTCACTCGGTGGCGTTGGTCCCGTCCTACCTTGCAGTGAAAAAGGGGGGACGGAGAGAGCCATAAATTTGATCTCCATGGAGTTAAAACCAAACCCCAGTGGAATTCATAGATACAGGTTCCCCTAGAAGCGTAGACAAGGGTCTCTCTGCTTTCAGCCTCGCTTTTTCCCGTAACCTGAGCCCCCTCCTCAACCCAAAGAAACAGGATCCCTGCCGCGGTGCACTTTCCTCTGCCCTCCTCCACCCTATTTCCTTTCATATCGTGTCCAGCAGGGAACTCTGTTCTCTTTCCAACATCTGTGCAAACGGGTGCTTTTTAATGCACCAAAGGTTAAGTTCTTTGGGCACTAAGAACTAACAATAATAATCATGAATAATAAAAGAGGAGGAGCTTGGGGAAGCCTCAAATTCCTAGCGGTTATTCTCCCTGTTCTGATTCATGCTCGGAGAAATCGTGGGGACGGCAGTCCAAAAAAAAAATGCTTTAGTTCTGATAATTATACGGATAAAACTGTAAGAATAACAAGAAAAGAACAGCAGGCCTCCTTCGCTGCAATGCAGCTGGAAGCTGAGATAAGGTGGATTTTCTTTTTTAAGGGGCCAACTTGCAGCCTCTCCCCATCGTCCCCCTCTGAGCTTGCAGGAAAGGGAACAAACACGGGTTTTTCAACAACGCCCCGGAGTGTGTGTGTGTGGGTGATATCTGGGGGATAATGAGTGCATTTCTCCCACACCCAGCCCCATGGTGGCTTCCTCCCTGAGCAGCCTCACTTCCGCCTTCCTGGCCTTGCAGGTTTCCTTTGGATTTTGCTTTCTGCCTGCGAGGCTGGGATTTTCATTGACGTTTATCGTTTCGGGGATTTTTCCTCCCCTCCCTGCTCTCCTTTCCCCCAGAAGGTCAGCCAGGGCTTTGAAGGAATCCCCTGCGGCGTTTTGGCCCTTGTCTTCGCCCGAGGTTTGACGTGGATAGGAAAAAGGGGAGAGGACTTGGTGGAGGAGGGCAAGAGGGGGATGCCGGGGGGGGAGAGAGAGAGAGTCCGGGAACGCCAACGTTTGGATAAAAACCCTCAGAGGTGAGAGCAGGAGGGAGAAAAGACCCCACGGGGCGAGTCTAGATGGCCTTCGGATATCCCCAAAGGACACCCTTCCCGTTCCACAGCTCTGGCAACTGAGCCTCCCCTGGCAAGGCTGAGAGCAGCAGAGACGGGGGGGGGAAGCGCCTTTTGAGGGTGGAGGGAGGGACTACAGTTCCCACCATCCATGTGAAAAGGCTACTGGGACACGAAAGCCCGAGTTCTCAAGGGTGCCCACACCCACTCCACACCACACCCAATGGGGGCAGGAGCGCTGAGAGGGCAAAGGACACGGGGTTGCCTCGAGTGCCGCTCCCTCCTTGAAACACCCATGCCGCCGCCTCCTGTTCTGGGCTGCCTGAGGCTGCCGCCTGGCTCTGCCCAAAAGGGAAGGCTGGTCCTGCTCAAGAGCAGGTGGAACTTAAACCTGCAAGACCAGGGAGGGAGGGCGCGCTCGGCAAGCAGAAAAAATATCTACCGACCGAAGGGCATCGGACGCCATGCAGTGTTATTTTGAGGGGGTGGGGAGAACGTGTCTGGCAAACCTTTCGCTGTGATGGATGATGACCAAACTCCACCTTGTCCAGTCCCTTCAAGGGCTGTGAGAAGCCCCCCCCCCGTTTCCTTTCCTGTGAGGAGTCTCTCGCCATCTCTCTCCTGCAGCTTTCACCCCGTTAACACCCAAGATTAGGGGAGCAGGAAGCCAACTTCTTGGCTCTCCCTTCGCCTCTATTTTCACCCCCATTCCAAAATTTTTATGCACTTTTTTCCCCTCGTCTCCCTTTCCTTGCTGGGGGCGGGCAATCTCTCTTGCCCCATGATGTTTTCAGGGTTGCCCCCTCCTGCCTCCTTACTCCCCCCCAGCTTTGTTCTCTCCTGGGCACCAGAACGGGGCGATGTACCCCCAAGGGTGCCCACACCACTGATTTGTGAAACGCTCACACAGACAGACACAGACATACGGTCCTCCCCTATTTCAACAAATCTGGACATTTTTAGGGCATCAGGAAGGGCATTTCCTTCCAGAGCAGACAGATGTGGGCAGGAAAACACAGCCCACCTCTAGAAACGCTGTCCACCCTTTTGCCGTCCTTACCTGGGTCAGCCCGACAACCTCTCGGTGGTTCTCGGCGGGCAGGCCACTACCCGCTGGCCGTGGGGGTGCTCATTATTTTCAAGGGGGCCCCAAGAAAGGGCAGGTTTTTCTCTTCCACCGCAGGGTCTCTGGAACCCGATTCGAGGGCGATCCAAGCAGAAGGTGTTGACTGAAACTGAAGGCGTCCCCCTCCTAGAGAAAAAGTGAGCGAGAGAGAAAAACACACCTTGGTGTTTAGATGATTCTTCTTTTCTCGGTCTTCCCCTTTACACCTTGCGCTCCTCCCTTTAAAGCCCGAGCGGAAGGTTTAATCATTACTTGGAGCGCACAATAGTTCTCTCTCTCTGGGCAGGAGGCCACGGCCGCGCACGTCGGCGCCAACTTTGGAGACCGCGGGCGGTTGGTACAAGGCTGAACATAGACATACGCACATATCCAAGAACCTGGCAAGGCGGGGGGGGGGAAGAAAACCACGTCCTGAAACCTTCAAAACCCTCCTTCCTCGCTTACCCCCTTCTGCTTCAGGGCTTGGCGGCCGCGTCTTTAGTCCAGCGTGCAAAATCGGAGCCGACACCTCCAGGCGGGGTGGACCTCCGTCTCGTCCTGCATCCGTCTGCACCGAGAGCGTCGGTGCCGGAAAGTGCCGGCCCGGCCTCTGCCAAGCGGCCACCCGGAGTGAGGAAGCAAAGAACACAACACACCACAAACCAGCTGCTAAGCTTTTAATCCCTTGGAACGCCCGCTCCTTCCTGGCCGACGTGGCCGGGACAGACTCGGGGCCACTTGGGGGTGGGTGGGTGTTGCGTTTGCCACCTGAGCATAAAAGTCCCAGTATTTCCAAAACATAACTTGACTAGGCCTTAATTACACAAAACAATGAAAAGAGGAATTTTTTCCAGGTAACTTAACTACACAAAAGGGAAATACAAGAGTAACTTTGTCCAAGTAACTTAATTACCCCCCAAAAGGAAAAAGATAAGAGTAACTTTTTTGGCCAACAGATTCTCCTCCTCCATTTTATCCTGAAGGATCAGCTGTAACAATCTGCACTTTTTTGCTTCCCGTTCCATGGCTGGCATCTTCCCGGTTTTTGCCCTTAAGTTTCTTCCACTGTTTCTCAGTTTTACTCCATTCCCTTTAAAATGTCTTCCTGGCTCACCTTCTTGCTCCCAGAACTTCAGAGCCTCCTGCAACAAACCCACATATCAAAAAATAGATGCCTTGGGTGGTTGTTTTGGTTTTTCCACCTACTAGCCACTGCTGGGAGTCCCTAATTCCTTGGGTGTGGAGGAGAATCGAGAAAGGTGAAATGACCCGGAGAGGCGAGGGCGCCACACCTGATGTGTTCCTGTCAAACCCAGGGTGCAAAACGGCTCTGGGGAAGTGGCCAAGCTGTGCCGGCTCATCCAGTGGACCGCTTCTGCCCAGGGCCAGCCCGGTTTTCTGCGTGGTGTATGTGTGGACATTGCCAAGTCCGCTCTGCCCCCCTCCCCGGCCACCTCATGACTCCGAGACTGGAATGCAACTCTGCAGGGCTCAGCCTTTGAAGACCGAGGGGTTGGTGGGGTGGGAAAAGCTGGAAAGATTAAGCCTCCCCTCCATCGGTTTACTTAATCAGTCCCTGGAGGCTTCCAAACTTTGCGGTTACCTCCACTTCCCAAAAGGGAATGGCCCCTCCCATCGTCCCCGGGGGGGGAAAGAAAAAAACAGGCAGTGAGCGGATGATGGGGGTTGTGCGTTTTTAAAAACAAGCCCTCCTCCCGTTACTCATTGCGGTGCTCAAAAATGGAAATCCCTTGTCGCTATTCATGACAACGTTTTCTCGGTGAGAAAGCTCATTCATGGCATGGTTCCTTATAGCATTATTCCTCTTTTATTTTCAGCCAATGAAATAAAATAAAATAAAATAAACACAACCCTCAGCCAGGAGAGAGTTTATGCCATCCTGCTACAAATCCTAAGACGGGTTTCTTTTTTAATGCTCGCCCCAATGGGAAACGGTCTTTCTGAAACTGTCCCCAAATGCAGAAAAGCTTTCCTTGTCCAGAGAGCAGTGGGTTTTCTCTGAAGAAAGATTCCCCTCCCACCAGCCCTGAAAAAAAATAAACCCTCCCCATTTTCAGCAAAGAGAAACATCGGGTGGTTTTTTTTGGGGGGGGGAGAGCTGTTCCGTGTCCGCTCGGGAGAGGGGGGGAGGCGTAAGTCAGAAGTAGACGGAGGAGCCTCCCTCGCCGTTCTCACGGTCGTAGGCCTGGATCTGGCCCTTGAGGTGAGCCAGCTTCCTCTTCAGGTATTCGCAACGCTCTTGCTTCTCCAGGAAAGCCGGGTCCTTGAGAGGTTTGGAGTCGGGGTTGGGGGGAGCAGGTAGCAGTAGCAGACGGGGGAGGGTGGGGTGAAGGAAAAGCACAATTTTTAAAAAACCACCACGCTTCCACCCTGCTCCAGAGCAGCCCTCCAACTTCCCCCAGCGCCGAGGGCTGGGCTGTAAAAATGTGCAAGAGAAACATGGGTCAAGCGTATGGCAACTAAATGTTGCAGCGCTGGTCTCTCTCCATTTCTCTCTTTCTCCTCCTTCCTTTCCCACCCAACCAGCCACTTTGAGCGTGGGGGAGCCCAGCTCTTTCCAGCAAGGCCTCGAGATCAGACCCAGGGAGACATAAAACCCGGCTGAGGGGTTGCAAGCTCCCCCAACGGGGACCGCCAGTCGGCTGAGCCCTCCCTCCCTTCCATTTCCTGCAGGGTTGGTTGGCTGTCCAGCCGATATTCAACGCCAGCAGTCCGGGACCTACATCCTTCTCATTCCTGATGGGGCTGAAGGTTATTTTTCGGGGTGCATACATGGAACGATCTTGCCCCTTGGTTTTGCCCTTGAACACATCCAGGGCCGTCCCTAAACCAGACCCACGTTCAACAGGACCCACAGCTGCTTAAAGGCCCGGCTATGAGAGATTTCTCCGGACCCATTTTAGTAAATGAATCATTAATCAGCAACGCTCCACAGCACCAGCCCTACAAGGCAGGCGGGGGGGGGGGGGAGAGCCATCAAGAAGAATGAAGAAGGCTTTTCCGGACATTTTTAGCCCTGGCTTTTCTGCCCTTACCTTCTTCTTGCGTTCGTATTCTTTCCGCAAAGCCGAGGCACGCCTTTGCTCCTGTGGGAGGGGAAAAGCCTCCCGTCAGCTTTCTCACAAGAAGACCCCTGCCAGAAGCCTCCACCGCTCACGGAATGGGCCAGGATTTCCGGGAATGCAAGCCAGGAGCCACAGAGCCCTCTTGTTGGCCCCGTCTTGCTCAGACGGGCAGCAACTCCCCTGGAAAGCCTTGGACTACAAGGCCCAGAATCCCCATCCAGCAGAAGACACACAGAGAGAGAGAGAGCGATCTGGAAGGTCTGAGAGGGATTGAGACCCACCTTCTGGCTCTGGTACCGGCGGGGCAGCTTGGCCATCGCCTCGTCCAGCAGTCTGAACTTCTGCAGGGCTGCCTGGATCTCACGGTGAAGTTCCTTGTATTCGCCGTATTGATCGCTGAAGACGGCTTTGTACTTCTCCCGCTCCTCTGCGCTTCTGACGGCCGGGTACTTCCTGGTGGAAGGAAAAGCGGAAAGGCAACTTTAGGAGGTGTCTTTTCCTGGAAGCGCAGGAAGTTTGAGAGGGGACCCCCCGAGGGCATCCATCTGACCCCCCCAGCTGGGCCAAGATCTGCATCCCAGTGTCTTCCCTAACACGCTTTCGGAGGTGGCGAGAGAAAAAGATTGTGAATTGATAGAATTTGGACCACATCGTTTTGCCCAGACTTGTAAAATTTCCAAAAAGTTCCATTAAAAAAACACACAAGGAAAAGAAGTTTTTTCCCAGGAAAAAAATTGGAAATTTTCAAAAATTGTACATCTCTAGTTTTACCTAAACCTTGGAAAGAAAGTTCCAGTTTTGTTTTGTATTTTAACATGACAATTTCCACGCAGGCAGGCAGGATTCAGAAAGTTACAATCTGAAAAAGTAACTTTTCCTATCTGGGCTGAAAGCCTTGGTTAGAGAAATGTGGAAAAACTCTGCACATGATCTTGAATCCATTTGGAGATTTCAAGGGTTTTTTTCCCCCAATGGGATAATGGTGCCCGGTTGCTTTTAAATGCGTTTTTAGTACCATCTTATTTTCCGTTTTTAATACACTACTTGTTTAATTTTTTTTAAAAAAATATCTGTACACTTACTGTTTTTGGCTTTTATATATCATCTGGGCCTTTTTTTAAGGAGAAAAAGGTGGGGTAAAAATATTTTAACTCAATCGATCAAGGAAATAAATCAAGTTGCTCCAGCTGAAAAAGCCCACCAGAGGCCACCGGGAGTTGTCCTTCACCGGGAAGAACATAAACCTGGAAAGATCCTGTGTCCGGGCTTTCAACGGCGACCTGGCCAAAGAGAAGCCCCAGAAACAAGGAGCGTTACACCCCAAGAGACGGATTCTTCCTGACTTACATAATATAATCCGGGACGATGTGAGGCTTGGGGTTGTATCCGGTCGGGATGGCGTAATTCAGCCTCTCCGGATCCTCACTCTTCTCGGAGAACTCCACCCGCCGTATGGACGTCCCGGGAGGCCGAGGGGTGGCCCCCAAGGAGGCTGCAGGCTTGGGGGCCTCTCGCAAGAGGACAAGCTTTGGCTGCGGAAGGAGGAGGGAGAGATGGAGAACACCATGCACCAGGGAGAAATCCCCAAATCCCACCGCTGGGCCGATCCCGGGGAACCCCTCGCCCTCGCCCGCCCACCTGAGGGGTCTCGGGGCGTCACCTGCACTGGCGGGCCCCTCCGGCCACCTTCGTGGCTCCACATCCGGAGGCAGACGAGCGCGCCGGCCAGGTAGAGCAAGGTGTTCAGGAAGAGGAAGGTGAGGGCGGCCACCTGGCCCCCGCCCACCCGGCAGATGGCCGCCACCAGCGGGTTGGTGGCGAGGATCGAGTAGCAGAGGCCCCCGCGGTTGATGTCGTGGACGTAGGCGAGGGAGGCGGCCAGGTAGAGCAGGGAGAGGAAGAGGTTGAGGCCAAACTCAGTCAGCGGCCACCAATGGGCCCGCAGGAGGATGGTCCGGTAGTACATGGTCACCCCCAGGCCCAGCAGGATGACGGTCACCAGCCACGCCAGGCTGGCCACCGCCAGCACAAAGGCCGTCATCGGGCCGTAGTAGCTGTACCCGGCACCCACGGCCCCACCATAGGGCCACTGGCCACCCCCGTAGAGCTGGGACCACTGGTAGTCCTTCTGGAGATAAGCCGCTGTGCAGGCAAAAGCCATCCCGCCCAAGATCAGCTCCAGAGCCCCCATCAGCCTCAGGAGGCCCGGCCACGATTTCATGTAGGCGTATTTGCTCTCATAAGCTTCAAGCTTCCCCTGGTAGCCCGGGGGAGGAGTGGACCTCCCACCCTGGCTCCTGGGGGTCGGCACCGCCTTGCCCAACTGCTGATCGGTGGAGGAGGCCAGGGGGACCTTCTCGTCATCGTCTCCACTGCTGACGCTTCCCTGCTTCGTGTCTTTGCTGAGGCTCTCGAGGCCCTCAGACACCATCCTCTTCGGGCGTTCCAAAACCGGGGACGCCGGTGGAGAGCTCCGGAAATCTTTTGGGGTGTAGGTCGGAAGGGAGGTCTCGGCATGGGGCCGTCTCCACCATCCCCGGAAAGCGTTCTTCCACCACGGGGGAAGGAAACGCCGGACGGGCTTCAGAAAAGATGCCTCTTGATCCGGAGAGCTGTCCGTCCAAGCCGACGCCAAGCCAGGAGGAGAGGAGCCGAAATGCCGCGGGGATCTGGGGATCGTGGGAGACCTTCCCAAGGATCTGGCCCATGGCTCCATCAGAGGTGGATGGCTCTTACAAGATCAACCAGCCGTGGTGTCCCTTTGGCCCTGTCGGGAGCAGACTTGGCCTCAGCAGGACCCTTCCCGAAGGCTTCCGGGCTCAAAGCGTGCCAGCCTCCAACATCCTTTGCAGGCGTCACTCATGGAAGCGGGTGGGACGGGACACCCCTTCTCCCTCTCGGATCAAATTTGTGGCTTCATTTGGACCGGCGGCTGCCTGAGCAAAAGAAGGATAAACAAAACATTTAGGCCACTGCCTGGACATTGAAATGGAGAGGAGGTGACGGCGTGGCAGGAAAGCTTTTTTCTCCCACGTGAAGCATGATTCACCTGCTTTTCAGCTCCCACACCTAAGGTTACCCTCCTGTGGGGCTGGGCAGGCGCCATGTTTTCCTACTGAAAGGGCCTGTCCGCATCTCGGCCGACACCGACGGCCAGCCTCCGGCCTAAAGAGAGTCCTATCTCCTCCACCTCTTTTCCAAGCCAGTCTTCTCCTACAAGGATAATGGCAAGGATTTTTTAAAAAATTTCCCTTCCTTCCCAGTTCTCTCAAACGTCACCCTTTCCTCAACCTGAAGACTTCTGTACAACGTGGAAGCTTGCCATGTTTCTAGTGTTTCAGTGGGGAAAGAAAGCTGCAACTCCGATCAGAACTTTTTCTATTTGTTTTTTCTTGAGATGTCGGTACCTCCACCCGCAACCGGGGGGGAGGTTTCCCCTTCTCCCCCCCCCCAAAAAAAATCCATTTCACAGTACCTTCGACTTTTTTTCGGGAGACCCAGCACAGCACAGGTTTTGGAAAGGGGAGACGCCAGGAGTGGGAACCGACGCGAAGCCGGTCGAAGCCTCAAAGGAAAACGGTCGGCTTCCTCTTTCCTCGCCTAGCGGGAAGCAGCCCTTCGGATCAAAGAGGACTTTTGCTGAGCAACTGTGAGCAAACAAAACAAATTAAATACATCCAGAAATAACACGGTGAGACTCAGAAGGCGTCCAAGCTCTGTGTCCGACGTACTATCGGGCTCCGGGGCAGTTAAATATTAACTGTGGCCCAGCTGGAAATATGAAAAAACAAAATGTCACACAGAGACCAAGGTGTGCAAGTGATAAATCAGCTCCCCAAGGGTGTGATTTGACACAACTGTGCTCACCAACGCAAGGGAAATGTATTCCCCCCCCCCCCCCCTCTTCATTTCTTCTGGAGTTGCCTTTTTAAAAAAGCCTGCCATTCCTCCCACGAGCTCCAGATGGCGCCCTTGGTTTTTTTCCTCTGCCTACTTTAAGCCAACTTGGCCAGAGATGATGGTTGTTGTAGTCCAAGGGCCTCCTGAAATGAAGACCCTTCCAATCTCTGTAACATCAAACGCCCTCCCCGCATCTCTTAATCCCTGTTAAGAGGCAATAGGAAGGGGCTGCTGTGACAGAGTTTGCCCACGAGATGGTGCCAAAGGCACAGGAAAAAAGCCCGTTGTGAGGACTTTCTCAAGCTGAGCGGTGAATGCCATTCAGCGCCTGGAAGTTACTTTTTTTTGGTGGACCACTGGCCCTCCTGGTTTCTGAGCTGCAAATATTTTTAAAAGCCATTTTCCCAACTACGCAGGCTGGCTGGGGGGATGATGGGATCTGTTGTGCCTCAAGTAACCTTTCTATGTGCTTGCACTGGCGCTCAGGGATTTTGAAACCTGGCCATGTTTTTTTTTTAAAGTAAGTTTTTCCAAGCTCCTCCAAGTCTGCCACCTTGGGCCCAGCCGGATTGCGTTTTTGGGCAACCGTACATCGCCTTGAACCCCCTGGGAGGAAAGACAGGGGTGGATACATTTAAACAATTAAGTAAAAAATAAATAAGGGTTTTTGGACTCGTTGGCCTCAGAAGCCCCCCTCCTTTCCGACTCCATTAGTCTAGGATTCGAATAAATAGCTAAGGAACCGTGTGTGACTCACAGGCTGGCACACGGTGTGGCAAAAAAATGGGTCTCCCTCCGAATAAAAGCAGCCCACTGCCGTCTTTGCTGATGCTTCGTCCTCCACCTTATGGAGATCCTTCTGTCGTCCTACCTCCGTGGCTCAGAAGCAGCAGAAACCTGCAATGAGAGAATCAACACACATCCGGGACCCCCCTCCCTTGTCAAAAAAAGAAGCAAAGCTGTCCAGCCCAAATGCAAATCAAGGGGAAGCCAGAGAGAGAGAGAGAAACCCAGTTTGTTGAGAGCATTTTATTACATCCGTTGTTTTTTTTTTCAAATGCTGCATACGTTAGCAGTGTACAGAAAACACTGTGGATAGAATTATCAGATATTTCTAAGAAGAAATACTAAGTAAGTATCCAGGCCTGGCTACGCTCCCGCCCGCCCGCCCGCCTCCCCGAAAATCGATCCATCACCACCTCATTCTGGAAAAGAAAAACAGAAAAAAAAGGAAAAAAAGGAATGTTTTTTTTTCTCTTTAAAAAAGAAATTGGCCAACTGAACCAAGTTCCCCACAAACTCCTCTTCCGTCTCTTAGTGGCTACAACTCAAGACCACTCAAGTCGCTGGGTGAAAGGGGTTGTGCGCTGGTTTTAGCATCCATGATTCCAGTGACCTTCTTGACAAGATTCTGCTCCGCCAGCCACGGGTCACCCCTCCACCCAAAACGAGCCCCCCAAATCAGTCCTTCAAAACTCTTTGCTCCTCCCAGAAGACAGAATACCCCACGGTAGCACCCCCTCGGAGCAGGTGATCCGGAGAGAAACACTGCGAGCGGCAGGCACCTATTGGCCAGAACCTGTGATGTCTATCATGCCGAGCCAATGCAATTTGTCTCTTGAGTCTATGACAACAAGAACAACACATGCCCGGGACACCCTGCCCCCCCCAAAAAAAAACAAATTGCTACTGCTTTTGAAGGGTGCCGGGGTCCCCTCCCACCACAACACATCCTTTTAAAAAAAAACAGTGAAAGACAAACACCAATATGGCTCATTAGAACATTCAATCCCGCGTCCCGGCTGTGACTGGCAATATCATCTCAAGATTGTTTCCTATTCTAAAAATGATGTCCCCCCTAGTACTGGGGGTGGGATAAAGAAAGAGAGAGAAGGGAAAAAAGAGAAATATGTTTTTCCCCTCTCCAGTGCTAGAATGAACAGTGCTTCGGTTTTAAATATCTTCACAATAAAAAAAAGGCCCTTGTTTCTGCCCTAAAATAAGGATACAGTGCTATGGATCCATACTCCGCCCCCCTTCAAAAAAAGCCCCCAAACCCCTTCTCCATCATCCTCATCATGGATTTGCATGGTTTTTACACAGCCCCCTCCCCACTCCCGACCCGTCCTGAAAAAATGGCTTTGTTTAACGTGAAATCGGAATTGGGGTCCGTCGTCCTCCGCCCCGCCCCCAGTTGCGGGGTCCAGAAAACAGTTTGTGTCGTCTCCACGCCAGGAAGGCGCAGGGTGTGTGTGTGTAACTGTACAGGGCTTTCCATAAAAAAAGCTCCGACGTGGGACTGGGGGGGCGGCGGTGGGGAGATCGGCCACACAATGGCCATAAACATGACACGCGCGCGCCTGGCGGGGAGGTGGGTCCCCCGCCCCGGTCGCCGTCACCCGCTGTCCGAGGATGTGGGGGGAGCGGTGGACGGGGATTTCCCCCGCCGGGCGGGGGTCCACGAGGAGCGTTCAGAGCTGTTCGGGGTGCCGCCGCAGGCGCGGGCGAGGGCCCGGTGCTGCTGGCGGATGGCTTGGCTGACCAGGCCTGGCAGGGCGTGCAGGGTGAGGCCTAGAAGGTCGATCTTGCTCTCTAAGACGCTGATCCGTTTCTCCAGGTCCTCGTTCCGCTCCTGCAGCTCGGATACCATGTCGTACATGACATTCTGCGTCTGCCGGGAAGGAGGGGGGGAGACGGGACAGCACGGGGAGAGAGAAAAAAAGGGGGGGCAGTGATTGCACCGCAGGAGGATGGGAGATGGGATGCCCCAAAACAGGGGGCAACCCCCCCATGAAACCTCCCCCTCCAGGAGAGACCCCGCCGAATGCACCTTGGATAAATCCACCAACGTGTTGGCCTGATCGCTCAGTTTCCGCTGCTCCATCTTCACGCTCCTCAACCTGGAAGGCAAAAAACGCTTTTCCCACTCAGGACAACACCTCACCGGGGTGTGTGTGTGTGTGTGTCGTTCTAATGAAAAGGAAGGCGGCGGCGGCATCTCTCGGCGGGACACGGACAGCGGGAGACAAAACAAGGAAACGGCCACCACTGCTGCGGGGTGGAAGACAAGACATGCACACCGCACTCCAGATCCCATCTTGCTGGATCCCATGATGCACACGCATGCAGCTGGCCAGTAATGTGGAGGCCATGGGGGGGCGCCACTGGTTTGAGGGGTGCTCTTTCTAGGGCTGGGGGACCCTCTCTTGGTTTTCAGGGTTCAGGAGATCGAGAGAAGGCTTTCTGCCTCTCAAGTCTGAAGAACAACCATCCTTCGGCTCGGGCCGCATTCACACCGAATGCCTCTCAAGGGCTGGCTGGGCATGAAACAGAACCTCCAGCTTTAGGAGCAATCTACCCACCCCCTACCCCACATTCCAGCTGCTGGAGTCCACCACCACCAAAACCTGGGACAGGTCACAGCAGGGCCGCGGCTGGACCAGATCGGGGGAGGGAGAACGTGCCCCTCTATCTACTGTCAGACTCCACCCTCCATCAGCCTCAGACAGTGTGCTCAAGGATGATGGGAACGGGATGGGGAGAGACTCAGCTACAGGGAACGATGGGATCCCCAATTAGGTGGCGGAGATCTGTTCAAACAGCACGGGGTGCAAAGCAGTCAGAGGTGGGAGGAAGAAGGGGAACCACTCCCCCAAGGCACCCCCAAAAACTATTTTAACATGGATTACCAGCACTGGCCACTAGAGGGCACTAGGGCTTTATTCTTCTTATATTATTTTATTTATATGCCACATTTCTCCCAAGGGACCCAAAGCAGTTCACAAAATTAAAATTCTCACAATTTAAAAACATGTTAAGTTAAATATTAAAAGATTAATGAAACAATATATTATTTTACAATACATGAAAACATAAGAGAGATTCAAGTTTCTGCTGAAATTCTTCGCTAACAAGTGTTCATATCAGGGGCTCTGGGGCTCCTTCTAGTGGCCAGTTCTGGTAATACACGTGAAAATAGTTTTTTTTTCTTTTAATATTTTCCAACCACGGATACGCGAATCAGTGGATACTGATCCCGTGGGTAAGGCATCCCTCCTGTGTTCCCTTTATATTTTTTTTTCAGGTTTATCTGATTGCACTAAACTGCCGGCCCTCAAAAATTCTTGCCGTTCTATGACACACGGCCCCCAAGATCTTCTACTCCAGATCATCTCTTTTTGCGAAAGTTAGGAGCAGGGAAAGTCTGTGGAGGGCCACAGAGCCTCCACACGCCATGGCAGTCTGTCTTGGAACACTTGTTGATTTGGGGAACAAGAGACAGGGAGGACACTTTATGGACTCCAAACCCACCCGGTGACTTTTGTATCTGGGGGGGATCAGAAGTTGAGGGGGAAGGATTAGAGGTCCTTTCTTTGAGAAGGACCCCTTCCGAGCTGGAACGGGGAAAGCCCCTGGGAAGCTCGGAATGGAAAGAACGGGAGCCTTCCGGAAGGCATCGGGGCAACTCTTGGTGATGAAAAACGGCAAACCCACTTTGGAACGGCAAAGTTCTCAGACGAACACCCCTTCACAAACGCACAAAGGTGGTCCTCACAAAGCAGGCAAAAAGGCGCCAAAGGAAAGCAATAACTCTGTGCTCTGGAGGGGGGAAAATGGACCGGGGGGACGGGACAGAGAAGGACCAGAAAAAGCCACAACGCTGGGTTTTTTCTCCTTTGCTCCGGCGAGCCGGACATGCTAGGGAGGACAAACCTCTCCGGTTCACCCCGGCCAAATTTCGAGCCAAGCGAAATTTGGGTCGCCAGAGGCGGCCAGGGCCAAGCGAGACGGGAGCCTGCGGGCGACCGGGAGGGGGGGCGTGAGTTTCGTGAGTGTTTGTGTTGAGCTTTCTATGGCTTTCCAGACTCATGGAGATCAGACGGACAAACCATGCAGCGAATGAGGATGGGGGGGGAGTGAAGACGCTGGAGGGGG